CTTCGTTTCGTTTTCTTTCGTTACGTTACGTCGACCTTCGTTCGTTTCGTTATTATATTAGTCGTCTACTACTCTCGTCCGTCCTTCCTTCTACTACTACTATACTACTACACACACACACACACTCTCTCTCTCTCTCTCTCTCTCTCTCTCTCTCTCTCTCTCTCTCTCCCCCTGTGCGGCTCTCACTAGGCTTGCAAATTGTAGGTCTCATATTTCATTGATGCCGTAAACAAGAACCTGAAGACAATGGTTGTCTCATGAATACTCCGCAGACATGATGGAGTCTGTTGCAGGGGCTGCCTATGTAGATTATGTTTACAATCTTAAGATACCTTGGAATGCCAATGCCCCCTAATTTTATTTCCACTTTCATTTTCACAGCAACTTGATTTTACATAGCTTACCTTGAGAAAGGCTGAAATTTCTCAGTCTACTATCTGAAGGGCAATAGTAGTCCATGACTACTTTCGGTGGGCAAAAAAAACCTCAGAATTGGGATCTGGCGACTTGCCGAGCTGAGTGACTCAAGCGAATCCATGTCAATTCACTCAAGACATGTTGAGCCCAGGAAAAAGCCATTAAAAAAAAAGGAAAAATCGATAAAAAAAATTAACGTTATTGGAATAGGAAAAAATTAACATTATTGGGTTAAAAAATAATAAAACCTGAAAAATGGAAAAAACATGAAATAGAAAAAAAATATAAAATTTATAGCATAAATAATTCTTTCTTGCAAAGAACCCTAAAAAAATTTAAGAGTACATACAAGATTATAAATCAAGCGTCATTTATTTAGAAAAAAATAAAAGAAATTTATGAATTTAAATTGGACGAAATGATCAAACCCAACGCTTAGTTATGAATTGATGCCTCAAATCCTTGTCAAAGCTTCCTCAACCCCAATCACAAATCAGTTTTAGGTTTGGAATTCAAATCTAGGAAATGTGAGCTCTTGAAAATTTTGGATGAATAGTAAACGGAATCTAAAATCTCTTAAATCTTCGTTTTTTTGTGAAAATCAAGCTTGTGGTTAGATCAAGAACATAAATTTAAGCGTCTGGAGATCAAATTTCATTGAATGTCGAGCATCGATTGAAAAGAAATAGTAATTCTTCAAAAGCGGGTAAAAACTTGGCCAAATCTTTCGATCTCAAAAATCTTTCAAATCCGATTTTTTGCTCATATCTAATATATCAATTAGACAGATCAGGTAACTAGACTTTCAAACTTGGCTCAACTCGGTCAGGTTTTGGGCTTGAAATAAATAAATAAATAAAGGAGGGTGTCCTCGACAAGCTGTTAGAGCCGACCTACTCGCCCAAGTCCGAATCGATTTGTCTTCCAACACTGATTTCTTTGAAACATTTTCTCACAATTTGCTTCCCTTCTATACGAAAACATTAAAACTAATAGCAACCGTTGTAACAAAACATTCTTTATAGAGGTCTTGATAGGGGTGGCAATTGGGACTCGTGGACCCGAGACTTGACAGGTAGACCCGACCCCCAGTCCGGGTATGGGTCCAAGGGTTGGACCCAACAGGTCGGGTCAGGGTCCATTTAGTCCCTCTCTTTATTTTTTGAGTTCAATATACATTTTTTTAATGCAGAAATTGATTTTCAGGTCAGGTCCGAGTTGGATCTGGATCCACCATAATCAATTCAGGTCCAGGATTGAGTCCAACCCATTGCCACCCCTAATTCTTCACGGTAGATCCGTGTACCAGGTGCTTTCACCACCATTAACACCAAATCACCAGCTTCTGACCATGAAAATAGCAGAGAAGAGATAAATGATACAGCTTCTGACCATGAAAATAGCAGAGAAGAGATAAATGATACAGCTTCTGACCATGAAAATAGCAGAGAAGAGATAAATGACAGAGATAGAAGTTGAGCTTGAAGCCACTTAACAAGGACTTGAGGGCAAACAAGAAGCCGTTGGTTAAAGAAACAAAGAAGTGTTGAAGAGTATACGAAATCTCAAACTAGAGAGAAGGCTCAGTTATGAGAGGAGAGAGTCAGATTGGAGGTGAGAAGCAGTTGATGAAAGAGAATAGAGAGAGAGAGAGAGAGTACTGCCACCTATCCAAAAACTGAGTGCATTTCACTGAGAAATGGACTCTCTGACAAGTATGGCCAGTTGGAGACGTTCTTATGTAAACTTTCAACTGGTCTTTCAGGCTTAAGGACCTAGAGGGAATAAGGTGTTTGACAAGAGCATTTGGAGAGAAAAAAATGGAAGAGGGAGGGAATTTTATGAAAGAGGGTTGTAATGGGTTTAATATGAAGAACTGGGCTGGTTAAAACGAGGAAAAAAAAAAGGAGGTTCTTTTAGAAAGCTGGATTTAGTAAGGCTTTTATATGATATTTTCCCAAAAAAGTAATCAATAAAACCACAAAGATTAGAATAGAAGTTTTAAATATCAGATTTCCTAGACTGCAGCTGAGTTAACCCTCTAAAGACCAACTCGAGTAGGCAACTTTTCAAACAAAGTTCACTGAAACATTTGAGGTTTTGGAAAAATAAAAATAAAAGAGAACTTATGATGCGACAGTAATACAGTATTAAAGCTTTCCTTAAACAACTAAGCTAAATTGACACATCAGAGTCCCAAGTCTATTGTTGAGTCGTAGAATAATTATGGGAATGATAAATGCAATTTCCTAAAATGCAAAATAAATATAAACAAAATACAAAAGATAAGCCATCAAAGTCAGTACTTAATAATATTCAAATTCCAATGAGTGATGCTCACCTGTAACTTAAGCTTGAGCTCGCGGATAATCTGAAAAAGCTTTTTATATCCATGCCAATCATATTCGAGTGGAGAATGACTCTCTACTATCCCCCACCAGCAGTCAACCATAACACCGTCAACATTGATTGACTTTAGTATTCGTAGATGCTTTACCAAACCATCCAGATCAACGACCTCACACTTCATGTTTATAACGCCCAGCTAATCAGTAACCAACAATACATTGTGAGAAACTCGATGAATAAACCAATAAATAATGTTTTCACCGCATTGAATCATGTTTATGGATCATATAACCATGTACGTACCAGCCCAACCATTATAGTCTCTTAAACATGCAAATGAATGATAAACCAACAAGATACATGACTACCAAAAACAAGTGACGTGGGAAGCATAGACACTAAGGTAGCATGGTTGCAACTTGGGGCAATAAGCATATCAAATAAACAAAAAAATAAACACTTACAGGTAGCATTACATAAACCGGAACATATGGAGTCCCAGCAAAATTACGCTCCGGCAACCGCCCACTAACATCTAAGACCTGCACAATAGAAAAGTAAAAGTAACCCATGAGGAGAAACGTCTACATAGCAAGCTAAAGAAAATCACAGCTAAGAAGAATCTCAAAAAAGATAAGAAAATGCCATAAGACCCACCATGAAAATTTTGACCCAAAAAATAGCATAACTCCAACAAAATACGATTGAAAATCCATCCAACTTTCAATTCCTTTCTTTTCAGTACTCCCTCTCTCAAAACAAAAAAAGGAAAGAAAACTAGACAAGCTAGACAGCGGTAGCAAGAATTCCGAACCAGCACAAAAATCAACAAGAAACTTTATCATATTCAGACATGAAGCGGAATTGACAACCAGTACCAAATCAAATCATCAGAAAAGAAAAATATCGACAAATGAGTGTTTCTTGAGACCCACAAAAAACAAAAACAAATAAAAAAGAGTACCTGCTTGTCATCACAAGTCTCCATGCAACTGCTAATCAGGGGTGATCCATCATTCTTATCTCCGCGATCACCCATATTGGCCACTATTCTAGGGGATGCCAAAGACGTTGGGACAAAAACACCCTTCAGTCTACATGGACGATACTCCACTGAGTTTCGAAAGCCAGAACCGGTGGCACTGCCCCCTCTAAGAGCAGCAGGGGGGAGCTGAGAAGCAGGCAGGGGGGATGAGGTTGTTGGTGTAGAGGGCGTGGCAGCCGTCCTCGCATTCTGAAAAAGAGGAAATTGAAGCAAACCCATCTTGGGTTCTTCAGAGGATTGCCCAAAGCTATGGTCCTTCCAAAAGAACTTCAACTAAAGTAGCCAGATCATTGTTTTTCCAAGGTAATTAAGGACCTACCAAACTGAGAGTTTTTTGCAAAAAAGATGCAACCAGAGTAACTCAATTGTGGTTCTATCGAAAGGTCTTGAAAGAAAATAGCAGAATTATGGATCTGCTCAAGGGAAATGAAACAAAGGACGGACTTCCAGTAAACCCTTTTCATGGATCAGAAACGAACGACAAACAGCCTCACACTTCGAAGAAAAGGGGAAAATGAAGCAGACCCATTACGAGCTCTTTACCAAGAACTGCTCCGAACTATAGGAATTTTCAAAGGTTATACAAAAAATGTAGCAGTATTAGTTGGGACTCTCTTCATAGACAAACAAACAACAAAAAGTGGCCTCGTACTATGAAAAGAGAAAAGAACGAAGACTCAGATAATTGCTCAAATTCATGGTTCTTTTCAAAAACAATTCAACCAAAGCAGAAGCATTCACACAGGGGCTCTTCTCATGGATCAAAACGATGAAAAATATTAGTCCAGAGTGCTCATCAAAAATTTAAAACGAAGGAGAACCAGACTTCCTTGAGTTCTTCAGAGAAAAGCCCAAAAATATAGCAGCTTTTCAGAGGTAATGAAAACCTTTTTTCACATCTAACCTCCAAACGTATGGGGAAGGGTTCAACTGCGTGATAGGCTTCACTTTCTCAAGACCAACTGCAAGGACAGAGGAGTGTGCTTTTACGTGACACCAAAATGACTCGATACGGCTGCTTCAAGATAAATAAGGCCTCACTTCATAGCTCATCATCGATAAAAATTAGGAAAATTGTTTCACGCGGGCTGGATTGCAATTTCTACATTTGCGGTTCAAAAGTGTAAAGCATCTATCCTTGGTGTTCCATTTAATTCAAATATTTTTTTAAAAAATTATTATTTTTAATTTTTAAAATTTTTTTATTTTTCGTATCCATGATCTCCATGTTAGAGATTACATGTCTTTAAAGAATATATCCAAAAATTCATCTCAAAAATAGATTTATTATAGGCTTGCATTTTATTTTTACATATGGCATAAAAACCGGGTCCAAAAAATTATGAATTCAAAAGAGTGCAGTTTGTATGGAGCCAAAGATAAACAATCAAAATAAAACCCACCTTCAAATAGTGTCAAAAAATATCATTTTAATACTGAAAATCTTTGTAATAGCTTTAAAGTATATATATTTTTAATTATAAAATTTAAAGCTTCAAAAACAGTATAGATTGAACATATCTATAAAAACTTAAAAATCATGAAAATTGACGATTCAAAAATGGATTACAAAACATACTATTTCCAAAACTTGAAATCCATTTTTTTTCTCGCGTCAATGCATCGTGATGTCCAAAAAAAACATTATGGTTCTGAAAAATAATTACAATTTTAAACTCTAAAAGAATGTTATTGTAAAAGATTATCTAGACCATTCAATTTACCTTAAAAATAAGTGCTTATGGATCCACAAGATCAGCACCATGAGCTTCAAATCTTATTGTAGCTGTTAAAAATTGATTTCAGATCAGAGATTTCCGTTACTTAAAATGTTTTCAGAATTTGAATTAAAGCCCCGCATATAGGCCTTATAGAAACTTCATTCGAAAGACGGAAGTCTACCATAAGGTAAATAACTAAAACAGCCCTTAACAATATTGAAAAGACCAAGTGCATTCAATCTCGGGAGTTGGGTGCTGTGGGATTCGTCTCATGCCTGGATGAACGGTCCAGATTGGGTTTTGTTCAGCCCAGGTAAGATACCGGGAGATTTCATTCAAAGTTTCGGGACTTCAAGATTTGGACACGGTTTCTATGCGGCCAGCCTGCATATTGTAGAAATGCAGGCATGACAATAAATATACTTTTTAAATATAATTTGATTTTAATTTTTAGAGAATATATTGGGATTGGATTTTTATGAGGCCAACCCGCATATTGTAGAAATGTGGATTTAACAATAAATATATTTTTTAAATATAATTAGATCTTAAATTTTAAAGAATATATAATCTTTAAAAACTATATAAAACATTTTTCCTAATCTTTAACAGATAGATCCTGAATATAAAAAAAAATTAAAATTAAAAACTAAAAATAATAATTAAAAAAACATTTGGACTTTACGATTATTTTTAGATAGACCACCTATTTGCATCTATCTTTTAGATGAATGCTTTATACCTTTGGACCACACATTGTAGAAACGTGGTCTAGCCCCCATGAAACAATTTTCCTTTTAAGATTCTACACTTTAGAAATCGGCAAATTTCTCAAATCAAAGGATGACCATGCAATTGGATGAAGTACTGGGTCCTCATCCAGCAAGGAAAGAGGAGAGAGAAACTGTGCTTGAAGTTTTCAAGAGAGATAACGTACTTAAAGTATGATATACAGACATAAGGAAACGGTCCTTAAATTTTAAAAATAAAAGGACATTTAAAACTGAGGAACTCATTTAACGGAGAAAAAAGAGGTTGAGTATATACACCTTTAGTTATTTATAAAAAATTTAATTTCTTTAAAGTTTTGAATGTCTACTGTTAAAAAGTGGACCCGGTTTCAATGCGGCGATGCTAACACATGTAGAAATACGGGCCTTTTAATAAATCTATATTTTAGATGAATTTTAAGACTTAATTTTTAAGGACATGTAATCTCAAACCACATGGAGATCATGAATATGAATAAATAAATAAATTTTAAAAACCAAAAATATTAATTCTTGTAAAAAAACATTTGGACTATTGTTTTTAGATGGAACATCTACTTGCATCCATCTTTAAGATGAATACTTTATACTTTGTGGACCGCACATGCAGAAATGTGATCATGAATGGAACAATTTTTTTAAAAAACTAAGCACACCTAATAACAATATTATTTTGATTAATTTATTTTTCAAATTAATTTTTTAATATTTCTTATAAAGAGTCTCCCAATATTTAAACAAGAAAATTGAGAGTGAGGCTTCTTGGTTTTCACAGAAAAGAACTGGTTACTTAGAAGAAAGAAGAGTATAGAGAGAGAAATAAGAAAGAGAGAGAGGCTTATTGGTATTTACATAGAAATGAAATATACCGAGCGTTTCGGTCAAAATCTCTTTTCGCATTGCAGTTGGCATGGAGCCGAGGCTCAAAACAATCAAAGTAAACCACCCCTTCAAATAGTATTGATAAATGTGGTTGTATTATTAGAAATCTTTTTTGTAGCTTTAAAATATATTTTTATTATTAAAATAAAAAAAATTGAGTAGACTGAACAAATCTATAAAAACTTAAAAATCTTAAAAATTTACATTCAAAAATATTTCACAATGCACTACTTCCAAAACTTGAGATCCAATTTCTTTTTTTTTCCTCATACCCATACATCTTGATATTGAGATGATCAATTTGAAGATATTTGATAATCAAAACAACATCTTCTATTGAAATTTTCAAGGTGGGTTCTAATTTAATTGTTTAGAGCCTCGGCTCTATATAAACATTTTCCAAATAAGTTGGTTTGTGGGTGAGAGGGCAGCTTCCATTTGAGAAATCGAGCAGAGAGAGGACAGGTGTCTGTCATTTGACGAGAAGACATGGGCTACCCACAAAAGAATAAACACCAAACATGCCCTGAAAAGGCGAGAGAAAAGGAGATGGGGCACCGTGGCTCTCTTTCTCTTTCACTCTCATCCCGATCCAAGAGAAACGTAGCGCGAGGATCCGCCCCGATCCAAGAGAAACGTAGCGCGAGGATCCGCCCCTTATTATTATAGTGAGAGAAAGAGGAGAGAGAAAGTAGGTCGTTTAGAGAGAGAAAGTGAGAGGTCAAGGGATTTATACATACATACCCCCTACCTCCGGAGTAACAAGGGGCTCTAACTTGTGAAATAGAAAGTTCAGAGTTGGGCATGTAGAGAGAGAAAGGGTTACGGAGGTTCAGAATCTCTGGTAAAAGGGGGCCTCAAGGCACAGATCGCTGAGAGAGAAAGGCGGTCTCAAAAGGGATAGCTCTTTCAGGAAGAGCTAGGATTCTCTCTCTGGAAAGAGAGCCAGAAAATAGAGCCATGGCTGAAGAATATGTCTCTGTTCTGGAAGAGAGAGATGGGTTTCCTGTTGGAAACTTAGAGCGAGAGATATGGGTTTCCTATAGGGGAGAAAGGGCCTTAAAAAACATAGAGAGAGAAATAGGAAAAGAGAAATTTAGAGAGAGAAAGAGGGAGACTTACATGGGGTCTTGAGGGGAAGGTGGTGCCATCTGGTAAGACCATCCATCCAGCCTCTCTTGCAAGAGCAGCGATGACATCGTTGATGTCAGCCCTAACCCTAAGATTGTAGTTTCCATGTCTTCTAAGCCCTGCAAGAATCCTTGCAGTGATGGCCCTTCTATGTCTCTCTCTGAGCTTTGTTCTTTCTTTCTCCTCTTTTGGCCTGCATCTTCTTCTGCCTTCAACTGAACCCCCCTGCTGTTGAAGCTCTGAGCTTTGAACATGGTGCGGCTGTTGCATCTGTAGCCTAGCATGGTGGCTTTGATTTTGTGCTTCTTCGTCTTCCTCTTCTTCCTTCACCTCCATTTCCATGTCGTCTTCTTCATCTTCCTCCTCTTCTTCCCCCACTACATCATCTCCATTTCCTTCCATTTCTTGAGCCATTTGCTCCAATTCGGAGCAGAGCAAACTCTAATTGCTCTGTATCAGTGGGTTTCTCCTCTCTCTCTCCTAATTGCCCCGCATCAAGGGGTTTTTCTCTCTCTGAACTATTTATTAGCTGTGACGTCTTCTCTTTGCTGATCGTTTACTGCCTGCAAAGCGCAAATGAGGCTCCCTCCTAACTGATTCTGGTAACTTTTCTGGCCACTTCTCCTGCGAAAAGTAGCCAGAAATGCTCCCCCACTCTAACTCCCTGGAGTCTCCAGGGCTGGCTTTCCCTCTCCTTCAGAAAATGGATAAAACTTTTTATACACTATTTCTAGGGTATATTTCGCTGTCTATTCCCTGCACACCCAAATGGACCTGATCTTAGAGATTTCCGGCGACCTCTGCAACTTCCGGCGAGCATCCCCCACGCACCTTTCGAACCAAAGAAAGCTTGAAAGCCCTATTTTTCAGTCGTCATTAAGCCCTAAACCAAGCTCTTCAACTCAGGCCCCTCGAATCTCACCTTTGGCCACCATTACAGACTCGTTTCGAGCTTATGAACCTTGATTTCTCGATCCAGATCAAGCTCTGAGATGGGTCTCAGGAGAAAGACGCAAGCTTTCTCTTGTCTGCTCTAACTCAATATTTTCCGGCGAGTTTCTGAGGGCGGATCTCTCTATTTTGGCCGGAAATCGACGCAAATGGCGGTTTGCCGGCAAAATGAGTGCTTTTCCCGGCGCGTTTGGGGTTTTCCGGCGAGCCTCTGCGACAAGGAAGAGAGAGAAGAGATGATTTCTAGGGTTCCCTCGTGTGAGGGGGCCGCGTGCTAGCCCCATTTTTAACACGGATGGGAGGGACGAGAGGCGTGGGAGGGAATCGGACGGACGCCTGGTCGACACGTTTTGCACGTGCCAAGCGTCCGATCATGCGATACGCGCTTCCCCCCTCGCGCGAGTGAGCGGACTGATACCCTTTTTATAATATACCAAAAAAAAAAAAAATCTGATAAAGGCAAAAAGATTTAAAACAATTAATAACTTAAGGGGGAATCACGAAAATACCCATGTTTTTTTAGGTAACGACAATTAATGAAATTTGTTTAATTCAGAATAGAATTACTTGTATGAAAACGGCGTTACTTTAAATGGTGGAAGGGAGTTAATGGCAATTTTGATAGGCTCTTTGATCATTTTAGAATACATGGAGAAATCCAAAACATTCATTGACAAAAAAAGTCCAAAAGATTTTGTGCCTTTAGTGGAAGCATGTTGTCCACTAAGAGTAATTTAAGGCATGTTTCACAAACCTGAATTTTAACATTCAGATTTTTAAAAATTAGAATAAATGTATTGTTGGCATTTCATTATTAAAATATATATCTATATATATATATATATATATTATTTTGTTCATGTTTGCCTTAGGGTTGGCAACAGGTCGTGTCTGGCTCAAACTAGACCTTGACCCGATTGGACCCAACCCAAAAAATTAAAATATCTATATATTTTAATATATTTTCATAAATTGACACCGGATCTAGACCCAGACACGAACCCAAATAGTGTTCGGGTCCAAGATTTGGATCTTGACCCGACCTACTAGGTCCAATTCTTGTATTCATACCCGGACCTTGTGGAGTCTACTTGTCTAATCTTGGGTCCGGTCCTTGGTCCATTGCTACCCATAATGTTTGGCTATCTACCCGGATTTTTAAAATCACATATACTTTTAATTTTCTACCATTTGGCTAATAATTTTTTAATGAGGTACTGGCTGATGGACTCTTAGTCCTTAAAAAGCTGGACTTCATAGGACACGGTTTTTATGAATCCATGTGGGAACGAGTCACCTCTCAAAAATCTCTCAAAAATCTATATTTTGGAGATGGATTGGTGTACTTAATTTTTAAGGACATGTAGTATCTATCATAAAGATCATGAATATGAAAAAATAAATAAATTATAAAAATTAAATATAATAATTTTATTAAAAAAACATGTGCACTGTTAGTTTCAATTGTTTTGAATGGACCACTTATTTGTATCCATTTTTAATATAAATAGTTTATACCCTGGGGATCGCAAATACAGAAATACGGTCCCTGCCACATGAAACAATTTTCCTTGTTTATATTCACAAAGAGGAACCTAACCGTGCTCGATCAATTTAGCGAGGGACAGATTTGGATAATAAGTTTGTAGCAATCCAAAAAAATTGCAAGTTTGTAGCCAAAGGTAAATAAGCCATCTGAAAAAAATAAAATAATTAAAAATAAGTAATTACTGTCACCTTAAGTGCGTCTTTGCCTGGGCCCCATGGCACCAAATCACAAACAACTTTTTAATTTTTTTTATTTTTATTAAAAATGAAAAAGTTTACATAGGGTTGCAACCTTACAATGTAAAACTACGGATGCACCTCAAAAATCTATCGAAAAATGTTGTTTTAATGTTGAAAAACACTCTAGTTGATCATCTCGACATCAAGATATATGACTATGAAAAATAAAAAGAATTTTGAGTCTTAAAAATAATGCATCTTACAACACTTTATCTAAACCGTCTATTTTCAAGATTTCCGTATGTTTATCTATCTACTTGATTTTAACCATTTTTTGAATTTAAAATTTTACAATTAGATATGAAAAAAGATTTTGAGATAATCCTAAGAATATTTTACATCAAAATTATATGGTATAATAAAATGTAGTGGTGCACCGTAATTGGAGTGTTCAAGGTTGCAACCTTATGGAAACCACACCCATTAAAAATTCATATATAGCCACTATTCTCTTAATATTTCGCTATAAATAAATTTATTGCATCCCATTATTAAGGATTCTTTACGCAACAAACATTCAACAATGCTGATTATGTTTTAGTGAATATAACACAAACCAAAATCCTATTTTCAGTAAACGGCATCAAACCCACTTATACAAAACGTCCATACCCAAAACCCTATTTGCATTAAATAACATCAAACCCACTTGTACTAAAGGTCCATTAACACCAGCTAAGTTGAGAGAGAAAAACTCTCATATACAGATAGTAACAGTTATGCATATATACTTATAATACATATCAAAAACACCTAATCTTATCATAATCAAGAGATACACGTCCATACAAGATACATATCCGATACATCTCCATACGATAACAAAAAGTCCACTAAGGTTGCTGCTTCTCAAAACTCAATTGCTCTTCTCATATTGTATTCCAAGTGCTCCTAAAACCACAAGAAAATGAACCTACAAAAATAAATAATCATTAACAATATTTACGGCTTGATCTTGTTCAAACCGGTCTTTAAAATTGCTTGACATCTTCCAAATCACTGTTAGATTGAAATTGTTATTAAAAAAGCTTAGCATGTAGCTTACTTTCTCTTGCAATCTCAAGCTTCAACAAAGAGACAGGAAGAGGCAATGGCCATAAGATTAAAGCCTTGGGGTTTGTAGAGAAAGGTTCGAGCTCGAGCTTCAACAAAGAGAGGGAAAGGTGTGGAGTGGCCTGAATATTAAAGCCCTAGGGTTTTTTTAGGGTTTGCAGAGAGAGAGAGAGGGTCTCACCTAAAGGCCCCCATGTGAGACTTGAAATATAGAAAGAGAGTGTAGAACGTATTAAAACACTCAAAATATCATATCCCCCAAAATTCAACTCCTCCTTGAATTTTTAGAAATATAGATCTTGGTGTTTTACTTATATATTTTGAGATACAATTTTGGGTCACTAAACCTGATTTATTTCCTTTTAGGCTTAAATTTTTTTAAATTGCTCAAAATCCAAAAATATTCATATATTTAAGTACAATCAAATATATGCTCATATGGGAAAGGATGGCGTAGGACCCACTAGCCTACCGTTACACATGAACACAACAGCTTAAATTCAATCTGAGCTGATCTGATAGTCACGACTTCATTTTCATATTTTAATTTTAATTTCTTTTTTTTATAAGTTCAAATCACATGAAATTATAGGCAACTATTATTCTCATCAAGATGCATCTAATAAAAATATTAAAAAATAATTCTCAAGATATAAATTGAACAAAAAAACCCCTAAATGTTTTGTGGGTATTTTGGTCAATTAATTTTTTACAAAATATTTTTCTGATGTTGTTATTGGATTATCCTATTTTTAAAGAACAAACATCCAAAAGTTTAAGTGATTTTGATTTATAAAAATAAAATAAAATTCAAATATGAAATTTAATTGTGATCCTTGGATCTGTCCAGATTGAATCTAAGCCATTGGACTCTTATTTAGTTGTAGGCTAGTGGGCCTACACCAGCTAGTGGGCCTACACCATCATGTATCTTATTATATACTAACCTCAATATCGTTGGGTTCTCTCTTTATCACTCTCTCTTTCTTTCTCTCTCTTTGTCTTGTGATTATTTAAACATCTTAATTAATTAATTCGGTATCACATTTTCGGAGTGTCTAACTATATAATGCTGAAAAATATGAATTTATGATAATCCAAATGGGTAATGCACAATATGAATTTTGAGATTAAGATAAATCACATCGCATGAGTTGCGGTTTCTTTGTCAAATTTATATTGCATGGAACTGAACCAATACGTATGGGATCAATGAATTTTGTTTGGAATAATTTTTATTGTTTCAGTAGATATTCTGATTAGGCAGTTCAGGGTATTAGTTATTTCTATTATTTGAGTACTGTACTATCTTTTTTTAACTAGAAGTGGGCATTTTTCATGTTATTTCTTAATGGGCCAAGGCTCCAATACGATGTTGAATGAGTAGATGAAACCTACAAAGACCTTCACATGGCTGATTGGAGAGATTATTCTTTAGGGAAATTTATGAAATGAGATGAACAATTCAACACCTAACCTATATCTTTTGATTTAATCTCAAAATACTCATTAAAAAATACATGGCCTTGAGTTGAAATAGCTACAAATGAGCAAAACGTTAAGACAGTTCACCTGATATGGGTATTTTGATAAATTCCCATTCTCTTTAAGTTTATAAAACTTTTGTGTATTTATACAAAGATCTCTTTAAATTAAAGGCAATACAACACTTCATAGTTTTTGCTTTAAATGCAAGTTTTTTAGGTGATTAGAGAGTTTTTGGATTCTATTGCAAGCAAACTCATGTTTTTCGCATGACAAAAATCGTGTTTGGCATAATTATTTTTTTACCCCAAAATTATCTTATAGACAAAATTGTGGTTTTTTAATTAAAAAATAAATAAAAAACTTGCATTCCATGTGTTTGGGTATGCAAGGAAAAACATTAAGGTTTATCCTTCTGTGTATCAAACGCGGAAGTGTTACAACGATGGGGAAAGTTTGTCTTTTGGAGATAAACCTTCTCCCAATCAAACACACATTTAGAAGGGACAAGTATTGAATTTACAACATGTGGATGGATCATGAAATGGTGTACAACTATTTAATGGTTTAGATGAAAAGGAAACACACACATGATCACAATTCAATATAGAAATTAAATTTAATTTTTCTATTAATTGGATTGACATGGAATTTTGTAAGTACTTGTACCACACTTATGCACACCTAACAACGTATACAAATTAATTCGTGAAATTTAAAATAACCCAAAAACCCTTACAATTTGCAAAAGTATTTTTGTCAATTTCCTTTTTGGAAGATGTTTATATAAGGTTGCGACCTTTAAATTATAGAATTGAGGTGCACTATCCATCAGAAAAATATTGTTTTGATGTTGGAAAACTTTCTAATTGATTATTTCGACATTGTGATTATGAAAAAAATAAAAAATAAAAAGATTTCAAGTTTCAAAATAAATGCATGCAACACATTACTTGGAATGTCCATTTTCAAAATTTCATGTATTTGTAAATGGGATTGTCTACAAATAGACTATTTATTTTTTGCATATAAAGGTCACAATCATTTCCACTCATTAGATGTCAAATTGGATGGCTTTGAATGAGTTACAAAGATCGAGATTTTTTT